TTGGGGTGTTTTGGGCTGTATTTTGTGCTGGATTTTTGATCAATTTTTTGGGTGTGTTTGGGGTGAATTTGGGGTATTTTGGGTGTGGTTTTAGGTGTATTTTTGGTGAATTTTGGGGTATTTTTGGGCTGTATTTCGGGTGTATTTTGGGCTGGATTTGGGCTGGATTTTTGATCAATTTTTTGGGTGTATTTGGAGTGAATTTGGGGTATTTTGGGTGTATTTTGGGGTATTTTTGGTGAATTTTGGGGTGTTTTGGGCTGTATTTTGGGCTGGATTTTTGGTCAATTTTGGGGTGTATTTGGGGTAAATTTGGGGTATTTTGGGTGTGTTTTGGGGTATTTTTGGTGAATTTTGGGGTGTATTTTTGGGCTGCATTTGGGCTGGATTTTTGGTCAATTTTTTGGGTGTGTTTGGGGTGAATTTGGGGTACTTTGAATGTATTTTTGGACGTTTTTGGGCTGTATTTCGGGGTGTATTTCGAGGTGTACTTTGGGTGTATTTTTGGGGTGGATTTGGGGTATTTTGGGTGTATTTGGGGAATATTTTTGGGTATTTTTTGGGGTGTATTTTGGGGGGTTTTAGTTGATATTTTTAGGGTGTTTTGGGGTTTATTTTCGGGTTTGTTTTGGGTGAATTTCTGGGCATTTTGGGGAGATTTATGGCTGAATTTTTGGGCTGTACTTTGGGTGTATTTGGGGTGGTTTTGGGTGTGTTTTTGGGTGTATTTTGGGTGAATTCGGGCTGTATTTGGGGTGTATTTTTGGGTATTTTTTGGGTGTATTTGGGCTATTTTGGGGTGGTTTTTTTGCTGTATTTTTGGGTGTATTTCGGGTGAATTCGGGGTATTTTTGGGGTGGTTTTGGGTGTGTTTTTGGGCTGTATTTGGGGGGTATTTTTGGGCTGTATTTTGGGGTGAATTTGGGGTAATTTGGGTGTATTTTTGGGTGTGTTTTGGGCTGTATTTGGGGTGAATTTTTGGGGTGAATTTGGGGTATTTTGGGTGTATTTGGGCTGGATTTTTAGGTGCATTTGGGCTGTGTTTTGGGGTATTTGGGGTGAATTTTTGGGGTGAATTTGGGGTAATTTGGGTGTATTTTTGGGGTGAATTGGGGGTGTTTTGGGGTGTGTTTGGGCTGTAATTTTGGGGTGAATTGGGGGTGTTTTGGGCTGTATTTGGGCTGTATTTGGGGTGTGTTTTTGGCGTGAATTTGGGGTATTTTGGGGGGTGTTTTTGGGGTGAATTGG